TTGGAATATTTGAGTCATGCCAAGGATTAATTTTGGTTTGAAACAGACAGAAAACGATTGAGTGAAAATATAGAAGTGTATTCAGCTGCAAATGAGACTACTCAACTTCAGAAGGAACACTTCTAAAATAGGTGAAGGATTAAAACTGCCACCAGTAGAACTGGAACTTGGGCAGCTGGTGACATAAGCTCATATTAGCATTGGCAACACAAAGGGAGCAATCTTGACACCAGAAGGAAGTGAGACCAAGCCTTGAACAATTTCTCTTGTGTATCAGACACAAATAGTCTTTTCTTCGGGATCAGACAGGTATGCATTCTTGTTCCAAGGACTTTATCCCACTGTCACACTTATTATGGTTAAGTCAAAGATAAAAATTAAAAAGTAAAAAATCCTTTTTTTATTTGAATTTGCTTCATGTGTTAAATCTAGTGGTATATAAGTCTTGTTCCTAATCTGTGCTGTTTAGTTCTTACTTTTCCACAAAGCTGCATTATAGGGGTTGCTGCCAGATTATATTAGTGCACCCATATATTTATTTATAATGAGGACATTGGAAGGACATGGTGGCATCAGAGCCTCGTGGCCTCATGCTTTGTGTTAAAGAGGCTGCAAGGCAGTTTTACCGATATGGCCTCGCATGGTCTGTCTTCAGTTTCAAACTCAAGAGATATTTTTGTCAGCAGCAGGGTTCTAAGTGTGTGTGTGTTTGGAAAAGGAGACATTTGAGTATCAGTAAGTAAGCATTTGCTGTGAAGTTGCATAATTATCTAATTACTTTTGTTGAGATTGCCAGTGAAAACACCACAGAGAGATGGAGGCACCATGCTGGTGGCTGGTGGGCAGTGGTTGGGGAGAAAGTATGCAGTGGAACTATTTCTAACAAATTAAAAATAATGTTTATTAAAAAATAATAATGTTTATAAATAATAGTTATTTTTCTCACAAGGTAAGCATTAACAAAAGAACTTTTGAGGTGCTTGTTAATCATCATTACATGTTTATAATTTCTTTTCTTTCCACACTATAAAAAAATGAAGGTCCATGGAATTGTGCGGCGATCCAGTTCATTCAATACAGGTCGAATTGAACATCTGTATAAGAACCCCCAGGCTCATATTGAAGGAAGTAAGTCATTTTCTTCACTAAAATTTCTTTCTATAACTTCCTGTATTATGATAAGGTATTTTCAGATGTCATTTTTCTCAAAGCCCATCAAGTTGCAATTATTTACCGGTGAATTGCCTGCGTTGAATTCTATCTGCATGCTCTGAAAACCCTTCCATTGCTTGCTGCCCCTGGGCCACAGTGTCATCTTGGTTAGTCTGTTACAGGATATTGGTCAGGTGATACTGCTCAAGGGACCAAGAGTAGACATGCCTTTGATTGCCCTTCTCCAGGTGTCCTTATCCCCTCAGGTAAGATCAGGTCCATATTCTCAGAACACTCCTTTACTTTTTGTGTTTGGTCTAATGTAATCAAGCCAAGTAATCTTTGTACATGTATTTAATTTTTAAAATAATTTGTGAAGACAGGTCCAAAAACAAATGGCAATCAAAACTATATTTAATTGCTTTGCAGATCATTGCAGTTGCATGTTTTTTTGTTATTAAAATTGCCTGAATGTAGCCATATAGTCTACATAGCACAGTCACAGAGTTTTCTCATTTGCTCTTTACAGCAGCTCCTAAACTTGTGAGTGAAACCATTTTACAGATGAGGAAATGGAGGCACAGGGAGGTTGTAACTTTATTTGAGGTCATACATCATGTAAAAGACAGAGCTAGGACCAGGACACTGGGTTTTTAAACTCCAAGTTCAGCCGGCTCTGCTTGTCCAGTTTTTCCAGCTGGCAGGGATGATTCCGTCAGTTTGTAAAGCATAAGTCATTTTGTTTTTTTTTTTAATTTTTTTCTCAACATTTATTTATTTTTGGGACAGAGAGAGACAGAGCATGAACGGGGGAGGGGCAGAGAGAGAGGGAGACACAGAATCGGAAACAGGCTCCAGGCTCTGAGCCATCAGCCCGGAGCCTGACGCGGGGCTCGAACTCACGGACCGCGAGATCGTGACCTGGCTGAAGTCGGACGCTTAACCGACTGCGCCACCCAGGCGCCCCAAGCATAAGTCATTTTGTATTCATTTCAGAGCATCAAATACTTGGAGTTTTGGGTTACTTGTACAAGTAGTGACATCATCAGGAAGATGATCTAGTTGTCTCCACTAAAGGCTTTTCACCTTTATATTTAGTTATTTAGTGCATCCTCCTTGAAAATTATGATCATTTTTGTGCAAAGTGAAGAATGGCACTGCCATTGGATCTAAACATAGATTAGTATTATGTACAAATAATGTAAAGATCAAGCTAGCAAATTGCCCATCTACAATGTGTCAAATTCTTATAGTAATGAAGTCAGTGTACGGATCTACTGAGACTTAGGGTTAGAATAGGCCAGTTGTTCTTTAATCAATTTAATCAATTATGTCACTACATCACTCATTTCATGGATGGCTTAAGGATTCATGTTTATGAAGTACTTAAAAATCACCAGATAAAAGCATCTGATTCACTATTACCCAGTGTATTACAGAGTTCTTTAGAGAATATATACATTAGTGTGAGATTTTCTTTATCTGAATATCACTCTTATGTAACATACCTTACAACTATCTGGGAACCATAAGATTCATTAATTGTATAATATCTGCCTTCTGTCTTGATATGACTTTTATTTTTTAATTAATTAATTAATCTTTTATTTTTTAAATGTTTATTTATTTTGTGTGTATGAGAGAGCGAGAGTGAGAGAGAGAGAACACAGAAGTGGGGGACGGACAGAGAGAATGGGAGAGAGAGAATCCCAAGCAGTCTCCTTGCTGTCCATATAGAGCCTGATGTGGGGCTTGATCTCACAAACTGTGAGGTCATGACCTGAGTTGGAATGGAGTTGGACACTCAGTTGGACACTTAACCAACTGAGCCACCCAGGTGCCCCTTGATATGATTTTTTTAAAACGTTCTTTTGAGTTTTTAAAAATCCTCTTTAGACATAGGCAACACATGTGAATAGCTTTCTACTCTTTAGGTTCTTTAAAGATGAGAGTTATTCTCTGCTACTCCAAAACCAGTATGGTTTTCAGACATTTAGAATATTCATTTCCATTTTGATATTTTTAAAAATTGGGCTTTTGTTGTTTTCTTCTATCTGATGGTATGTTTTTGAATTATAAAGACATGAAGTTGCACTATGGTGATCTCACTGACAGTACCTGCCTTGTGAAGATCATTAATGAAGTAAAGCCTACGGAGATCTACAACCTTGGAGCCCAGAGCCATGTTAAAGTAAGCCATTTTCACAGTCACATTTCTTTGCTGTGTTCTTGAGTTGTTCTGTATTTTGTCTGTTGTTTCTTAATACAATAATACAGGCACTGCTCCTAGTCTTCAAGTTTAATTAATGAATCTGATAGAAATACTAATACTTTTTAGAAGTGTATTCCATTATTGAATGATATAAAATCTTACTGCTAACATTAAAATAGCAGTATTCCTTTATTTTGGATTGATCTTGTAGTCTGTTCTCTGCCATTTCAAATCACATTGTGAATGAAGTGTTTTGTTAAAATATTGAAAAATGTAACTCAATAAAACTTCTATTTTAATATTAATTTTTGGTAGTGGTTATATTATTGGCTGAGAAAGTAATATTTTTGAGTTAAATAATATGTTAAAATTAACTGAATTAACTTTTTATTATAAGTAGTAAAAATCATGGGAAGATACAGCTAATGTTGATTTTTTTTCCCTTAATTCAGATTCTCCGGTAGTCTACCTACCTCTCTTTAGTTTTTCTTTCTGGAAAAAATTGCAGTAAACCTGAGTAGCCCATTCCTAGGGCTCTACTAATCTCCTTAATTCAAGTTTTTGTTATATTCACTTGAGTGAGCGAAATCTGAAGCCAGGAATGATATGAATTCTATTTAGATATTTATTCAATCAGGATAGTCGAGCTTAGAAATAAAAGCAAATAACTCTAAGTTAAAACAGTCCCTCTCTCCCCCCAAATCAGAGAATCTATCAGTGATTTTTTCTGTTCAATGAATGAATTCAGCAGTCTTATTTCAGAATTGTATTCCTTTATATCCCCAACTCTGGCACAGTGGAAGCTATATGTCTCAGCTAGTTTAAGGGACGAATTATAAGTTTCTAAATAAAATGAAACAGGTGTGAACATAGTGAGAGAAACATAATGGTAGGCCCAGTCTTATAATTGATATCAAATTTATCTCTCAAATATTAACCTTGACAGATAGCTACATATTAGTAAAGATGCTTCTTATCTGTGCTGTCTAGGAAAAAAAGTTTTTCCTTTCTTAATCTCTGATGATACTGTCCTGTATCCAGCATTAAGCTTTGGGCTGTGAAAATTATCAAGGTTTTTCAGTTAGAGCAGAGCTGGTTTTCTAAATGATTCTGAATGTATTTTCTCATTTTGAAAGGGTATCTTATGCATACTATGCCTGGAGAGATTATCACCTGTCTTTTCTATAGAGACGTAGTGGCTCTCTTTATCACTCCAGGAATGAAGACTATTTATCCCTAACTGGAACAATCAGTCCATCTTCCACATTGTAATTTATCTAGCTGCTTTTTGGCCTTCCTCACCAAAATGAGAGTATCTTCCAGGCAAAATAGAATGTTTTGGAATGAATCCTCTGTTAATCAACTTCCTTTAGATTAAGAACTTTACTTTGTGATTCTAGATAGTTTCCTACCCCTGGGGCTATAAACTGGCATGGTGGGAAGCTAAAGGAAATTTTATGGAAATTTATTTATAGAAAGTCTTCCCCCTGTCACTTTAGAATTAAATGGATCAGGCTTCTTTTTCCAAAAAGTTCAAAAAGTTAGTTGTACTTTTCTTACTTGAGTGAGCCTGTTACTGTGTGGTTATTATTCTGGAGTGGTTGTACTGTAAGTGTAGAAAGTGTAGGAGACTGAGTTGTTTCATTCAAAGTTGCTATGTATGTGAAGTTTATCTGTTTTCATTGTGTTTTGCCGGCTTCACCTAAAGGCCAGTTAATTGGCAGAAATGGTGTCTAATTGAATATGAATCTTGCTTTGTCAGATAATTTAGCCCTTTAACAAATATTTGCATGCATGGTGGAATAGAGGATACAAAGATGTATAAATCCCACTTCTGTCACGGAGGGTCTAAACTTTTGTAGAGGTGATTTGTGGCAAGTGAGAGAGTCTGGCACTAGTATCTTAGTCTTTAGAGAAGGGTGAGAGAGAACTTCAGTCTGAAGAGCTTCAAGGAGAAGATTTAGGGAGGAAATGTGCAGACATAGTGGGAACTGGCAGTTGAAATGGAGGCAGTAATGTAAGTCTAAGAGTCAGAAGTGAGAAAACTTGGGACACATTTTTAACATGATCAGCATTCCAGATTGAGCGAAAAATTTGTTGAAAAATGGGACATAAGGCTCTGTAGATAGTTGGACTACCTTTCAGTAGCCTCTGCATATTTAAAAAAAATTTTTTTTAATTTTTATTTATTTTTGAGAGAGAGAGAAAGAGTGTGAGCTAAGAAGGGGCTGAGAGAGAGAGGGAGACACGGAATCTGAAGCAGGCTCCAGGCTCTGAGCTGTCAGCACAGAGCCCGACGTGGGGCCTAAACCCACGTATTGTGAGGTCATGACCTGAGCTGAAGTCTGGTGGTTAACCAACTGAGCCACCCAGGTGCCCCGCCTCTGGATATTTTTGAACATGGGGAAAATAGATTTAGAGATGAGGTTTACAGGTAAGTCTAGTGGTAGGGCTTCAGAAGAGATTGGAAGCTGTCAGATGAAGACGGCAGGAATGAAGTAGATGATACAGGATGCCTGGTAGGACAGACCTCTCTACTGATAAGATATGGGAGCCAGGGAAGAGGGAAAACAAGGTTCCAGTGCCGAGGGGACCAGACAACTGCTGGTACCAATACCAGAGCAGGCATTCAAGGCGGGACTGTTGGAATCAGACAGGGTAAATGAGAAGTTCCTTCACCCTGTTTGATTCCAGGGTACTGGCAGTACTTGAAGGACATTCAGGTGAAACAAGTCATGAGGTAGTTTCAAATATGTTGTGAGAGAGACTAGGGGTACAGCAAATGTAAATTCAGCTCTGAGAATTCTTGCAATGCAAGACAGCAGATAGAAAAAGAAGAGTAGAGGCCTGAAGATTGAATCTAGGGGACAGGAGTGTATTTAGAATGGGAAGAGGAAGAATAGTCACTGATAACAGGAAAGTGGGAGATTGACATGCAGGAGGGTGGAATTGTGTCACAGAAGTAAAAATCAGGCTATTTCAAGCAAGAGGGGATATCGGCATTGCTAGATACTTCTAAAAAGAGCATTCTAGCAATATGATAGAAGAGTTAGCTGGCACAGAGGGTTTAGAAGTTGAGGGGTTATAAGGGAAATGTAAATTGAGTGGATTCTTTTCTAGAAATTTCCTGGTGTAAGGAAGAGAGCATATCTGATAGATAAGGCTCACTTTAGCATCAGCTGCAGGTTGCAGGGTGCTTCCCCAGAATTTCTGATTCATGAACTTATTTTTTTAGGACATGTTGATAATGCTGATTCTGGTCTGGGAATTTCACTTTGAGAGCCATTGCTCTAATGTTTCAGGTTTTTTGGTTTATCTATTTTTGATATGTGTCTTAAATGCATTCTTTTTAGGCCTTCTTTTTTTAATGTACCAGCTTTTTGAATTTGGTATAAAATAGTCCTGTTCCTTGACAGGTAGTGAACTTGTGTGCTTTTAAAGCCTAAAACTATACCTACGATCATGAATGATGAGAATGAAGAGTCTAAGGAGAATCTGATATACATTTATATCAAAATTCTTCACATTCACAAATCTTTTTCTGAGAAGTATGTAGTCCATGAGAAATAACTAGTATTTTAGGGGACTAGTATGAATACAAACCGCTGTTAGGATGTCCGTTAAAAATCCGTGTTCCACGTTACTATTTCTGCTGTGAGCTAATGTCCAATTGATTATCAGTCATAGAAGGAGTGGGTGTGGGTCAGGGGCTGGTGTGATGGTAGCTGGGGATGACAGACTGCCCTGTTATTAAGGAGATGTTGCTCAGTTTCTCAACCACTCCAAGGCTGTTTGCATTGGGCTTCAGTTGTCTGCCTGTTCTTTTAGCAGCTTGTTAGGGGGTTAGGATGGGAAATATATATGTATATATATTTGAAGTGAATTCTCAGTGTTAACTTTGTAGGATTTATTGTATTCTTAGACAATAGTTTTTAAACAAAAGTTCTTTCTGACTGTGAAATGCTTGCAATAAGGTTAATTAAAATACATTTTTATTATTTGGTTGGGAGCTTTTAAGAAGGACAATTCTAATATTAGCACATTTTGTATTTTCTTTTGAAACCATGATTTCTAGACTGGGCATTGTTTGTGTTGGCTTCTCTTTGTGCAGGATAAAGTCTTCTATCACTCTCACTTCCAGTTAATTTGCTGTGGGCTATGGTATGCTAAAAGTAAGGAAAATAAAATAATAGGAAGTTGGTCTGGTTTCCTGTAGGAAACCAATGAAGATGAAATTGGTTCTTGGAATAAACCCACAACAGTCTGGGAAATACTGACTGAAGACATTTTTCTGAATCATAAACAGAAAAATTATGACTCATGAAGTGTGGGTCATTGAGAGGCTGATTTGATCTTATGTGGGAGAAAAGTGAGAGATGACGGAAATGTACTAGTTATTAAAAGTAGTTAAACCTAGCATGATGACATCATCCAAGTAGGAACAAATTATCCAACATTTAGTCCAGCCCATTTTGATGGAGAACATGTTTCAAGAGCCTGCTTTATTGTTCTTTTCTTAAAACTGTGTAAATAATAGTTTTTCAGTAATTTCTGTCTTAAATTTCTTACCTGTTCAATGTTCATTACTATTGTGATTTTGGATTTTTCCACCATTCCTCCAACTTGTTTGGTACTCTCATGTCATTCTTGAAGCTATAGTGTTGGATGTGATCTTTCTATAATAAATCTAGTCCAGCATTAGTCTTTTTTGTCTCACAGTGTCCTGTTGGAGTTGCCTTTATTTTTTTTTCAAAGAAATGAAAATTATACAGTCATGGAATATTACAGCTAAAAGAAACTTTAGAAGTGATTTCACATGGGGACCTCTGCATAGCTCAGTCGGTTGAGTGTGTCTGACTCTTGATTTTGGCTCAGGTCATGATCCCAGGGTTGTGGGTTCTCTGTGCTGAATGTGGAGCCTGCTTAAGAGTGTCTCTCCCTCTCTCTCTCACTCTTTTTCTCCCACCCTCTCTCCTTCT